CAGAGTAGAGCATGGGTTGCAGAGCCACCAGGTGGGTCACAGCTGCCCCTGGGACCCCAATGTGCTACAGGAGAAGCATGGCCACCTGGGGAAAGCCCAGCCATTTTAAGTGTCCTGGAGGACTCCAGGGCTGAGGGAAGCATGACTGGCTGGGGAGCACCTGCCAGCAGCAGGCCCCAGAATACTCTGTTCCCTATGTAGCTATTTAAATGCCCTAGGAGATTTGGGCTGGGGTGACATGGCTTGCTGGGGAGCGGCCTGGGATGAGTGCACAGGGACCCCTGGCTGGGGACTGGTGGCAATGCAGCCAGTCTGTCCTGCACCAGTCTGAAACAATGAACACCTGCACAGTTCACAGTTGGTTGGGGTTCCAGCCGACTACAGCCCTTTACACTGAATATTTTCATGAACTCTTAGCACAGCTCTATAGGCCCCATGTGACAGCAGTGTAGGATGGGGTGGTTTGCCCCCCATACAGCACTGAGTGATGTCTGTTCCATAGTATGGCTGGAAACCCTTAACATCAGCAGAACTGCAGGCCTCTGCATAGGCTGAACTGGCCCTATGTGAACCAATAGAAACAGGCAGCTGATTACACTCCAGGGATGTCTATAGATGTCCCAGGTTTCCATGCCCTGACATGGGAAATGTCAGGAAGCTGGGGATCCCACAAGTGCCGAGGGGGGAGACTCGAGCACACTTGCATGGGGAAATCCTTGTGCAAGGGATTCTCAATGCAGTGTGGAGGGGGAGAAACTCAACCAGGGGTCCTGCCTTCCATGCTTGCAGGCATACAGAGGAAATCCCTGTGCACTTCCCTCTACTTGCAGGGGAGATATCCCTCTGCAAGGTCTGGCTGAGTAGGGAAAGCAAGGTTTTCCCCTGCCCAGCCAGATCAGGGTCAGGGTAGGGAGCAGACAGGGTCTGGCTGAATGGGGAAGCTCCACAGAGGTAATAAGGCATTTACTGCAATAAAACAAAAGAGTGCAGGGATGGGGAGGGACGCATACACAGCCAGGATTGAAACCCAGCACATAGATCACTGGCTGCCCAGGACAGGAGGCAAGTACTCTGAAGGGGAAGGGACGGGGGCAGGGGGCAAACAGATCAAGGCCCCCACATTGAGGGAGGGAGTGGGGTAGAGGCTGGGTTGAAAGGGGCCCCAGCAAGGTTGGGTGATGGGACAATTGGAGCTTGGGTGGCTTATCCAAGGGCATGGGGGGAGGGGACCTCCTGCCACTGCGTACACCCAGCGAAGGCCCAGGGGGGCATATGCCCCCCTGATCTGTGTGCGGGGCAGAGGCTGCTGCCGCTGAACTCTGGGTTCTGCAACCTACTGTTGCTGCCTCAAGAGCCATGTGATACCACGTGCCTTCTCCTACTGTGCTGTGCTATACCCCATGCCCACCCAGTGTCAGGATGCACGTGGCATCACATGGCTCTTGAGGCAGTGGTGCACAGAGCCCAGCACTCAGTGGCAGTTGCCTCCACCCCATGCACAAATCAGGGGGCACGTGCCTCCTGAAACTCCACCGGGGTGCACATGGTGGTGGGAGTGTCCCCCCCCCAACGCCCCTGGACAAGCCATCCAGGCTCCGATTGTCCCACCACCTAGCCTGGCCATGGCCCCATTCACTCAAGCCCTTGCCCCTGCCTTGGCCCCACTCCCTCCCTCACTGTGAGGGCCTCAATCTGCCCCTCCCATGCTCTTTCCCACCCCTCCCCCCACAGACTTACCTGGTGGGGGGGGCGCATGCACTCAGCTCCCCCAAATATTTTTTTTCTCCCTCTGCTAATGGGGAGGGTGGCTTCTGCCATTGCATGCACTCCCAGGCAAGCATGTGGAGGGAGAGTGGGGTGTGCCCCCCAGATCTGTGCGCAGGGTGAGGGCGGGCTGCTGCTGCGGGCTTTGCCCTGGGTGCCAAACTTTGTTGCTATGGCACTGGACACAACAAAGGGTAAGGATGCCTATTTGCTTGGCATTTGTGCTGTCATAAAAAAAATTTAAGGCAGAACAAATGAGACATCAGGTAATGTCTGTTTCTACCCTAAGGACCCCTCTTCACATGCAGGTAAAGGTGTGATGGGATCTAATGTATGATCCACACAAGGTGTAGTTGTGGGATTGCAAATCAGAGCCTATCATGCCTTATTGCCCATGCAGAGGGAGCTCAACTGTTGTGATCTCCCATCCATGGAAGCACCCCACACACCCGTATAACTAGGAAACAGCAGCTGTTGTGGTCTCCAAGCTGTGTTGGTGCATGGGACACCTCCGTGGCTGAGAACCTAGTTAGCTGATGGGACTCCCAGCTGGGTGGGCATGTGCTCCTGCAGGTGGGAGCTGCCAGGCTTGGGGGTACACATAGGCCCCCGTGGCTGGGCGCTCTGATCAACTGATGGGGGTCCCAGCTGTGGGGGCACAGGCTACACATGCAAATTAAAGCTAGATAGAGATCAGCTGTAAAGTTATTACACATTTTTCCAGCAATAACGTTATAGCTTCTTGGACCATAGTTAACTTGCATGTATAGCCAGTCTGAATTAATTGTGCAGGTAACCAGGTAATTGAGTATTACATGTAACATAGAGCGGGCTTAAGAAAGTGCTTTGTGGGGATTCCTGCACATAGAATCATAGAAAATGAGGGTTGGAAGGGACCTTATGTCATATTCTAATCCAAACCCCTACTTAGACCCAACTAGATCATCCCAGTCAAGGCTTTGTCTGGCTTGTTCTTAAAATCCTCCAAAGACTGAGAGTCACAAATATCCCAAATGAAAGGAAGGAGTGACTGCCTTCGCTTGTCTGCCTCAACGCAGCAAGGCTCGCTTCCTACTTGTGAACATCTCTGATAATCCAAGTCTGGCTATGAGCGTGGCCAGAAGAGAGAATCCCTCTGAGAAACACTTTTTCCCAGGCCCATGAAAGCAAGGAAGAAGCTGAAATGTTGTTTTTTTTCCCCTGTATGTTATTTTTAAAATCTTACTCCCTGTTGCAAGGCAATAAGATGAGCAAATGGCCCCCCACACCTGCCAAGTTGCCATCAGCAATTATTGAGGTGTTTAGTGTCTTTCTGCCACCAGCAGAAATCTCGTTGCTCCCTCTCATGTCATGGATTTCAGTGTTCTTCTGGGGATGGTGCAATTAAAGCTGCAAGATTTAGAGCTGTAATTCTCTTTGTTTTTAACAGGGGGGAGAGATGGGAAAGGGTGATACATATGGTTTCCATCTCCTTTTTACTTGACTCTGATCAGCAGGGGAAAAAAAAGATAAAGAGTAATGGAGTTTATTTTAATTCCACTGCCTTTGATCCAGTTATTGAGGAGACAGTCTGATATGTGTACCTCATTATTTGGTGCTAAAGGAACTAAAAGTAATTCATGGATATTCTGCTCTCAGGCTTCCTTTTTTCCACTTATGCTTGTATCTGCTGGCAGAAGGGGGCTTACATCTTATATTTTACTGCCCAGTGTTTTTTTCAGGACAAATATTTTCTCTGGCTAAATTGCTTTCAGATATATGCTAGTTCAAATGCCTATCAACACAGTGTGGGCTAGTGGATAGAGTTATAGTCTGGAAGGAAAGTCAACTGGGTGTTTGGTTCCTGCCTGTTTTGCTGACAAACAGTATGACCTTAGTAAAGTTGTTCAGTCAAAGGTTTTCAAAAATGCCTGCTGATTAGATGTCTGATTTGAAATATATAATATCTGCTTTTTGCTTATTTCTATTTTTCCCCAGAGGTTTTGAATACAGATTGGCTCCTATATTACAGATATTCAGTACTTCTGAAAATCATGCAATTTGTGTCTCGGTGAGAAAGCAATTTATAAAATGTTGATTTCAACTGCCTTATGCCTCAGTTTCTCCCATCTGTGACATAGGCATATATTGACTTGCAGGAGTGTTGTGACTATTGGTGACAATTTTGAAAAGCACTTTGACACCCATCACGCCAAGCCATATGAAAGTACAAAGTAGAATTGTCCTGTTAAACTTGCAGGATAGGGAGTGATTGTGGCATATTAGAAAATAGCCTGTTTCAAGGACTAGTTCCCTTCTTACAATTGAACTAATACATATCTCCATGTGCATATTTTGTGGAATACTTGGTAAACTGGCCAGCTGCCAGAAGAGAGGTAATGTGACTTATCCAAGGTGAGCTGAAATCTGCTGAGAATTTATTAGTTCTGTCTCACTGGATTGGCCTGAGATTTTTATGGAATAGGATTAGGCCAAGGCAGTCAATGTATTTGGTAATAATCAAAACTTTAATATGGATTAGTAGCATATAAAATTAATATGTTAAAATCAATGGCTGCAGCAATAAAATGGTGTCAAGCCTTTATTCTGACACTAATAGCTTTGAATATACTGTACAGTACCCTTTGCAGGAAAACAAAATCAGAGCTGGGGAATTTGTGGTCATTATTTGTACAACAGCAGTGATCAATACATGTCTTGTTTTGAGTGTGAAAACAGGAGGGCCACTGATAACAGCAGGTAATTGTTATAGTCCATGGAATCAAGCTGGTATCCCATGCCAGAAAGACTGGAGCTGTGATGTCTGGAGCTGGATCATATGTAGGGAACTGGGAGGGCAGGAATCCAGGAGGCAAGCTCTGTTAAAGTTGTGCATAGAGTCTATGGGAATGCAAATACCTGCCAATGTTGAGTTTTCCTACAGTACATATAATGTGGTTCTGTCCTCTCTTCATTGTGTTTTCAGTCTCAAAACAAGCCCAGGTATTGCTTAGATTCTGTTGTGAATCTGCAAGTGGTTTAAAAAATGTCTTGGAGCATCTGGGGATGAAGAGTCCTGCAACCAAACACTGCTTTCCATTAAAGTCTCTTAAAGAATAAACAGAAAATGTATGATCTTTGGATTGGTGAAGGCAATTATCTTGGACCAATTTAAAGATGCTTTCTTACACAGTGAGCCATGGAATGAAACAAAACTGGGATTTTTAAAAACATTCTACTTGCCTTTTTCTTCCTAGGTTCATTTCTGTTCCTTGATGCATCATATAACATCAACCCTGTCATCCTGAGCCCCTGGCTGAGAAGCAGTAGTGATCACTGCACCATGCAAGTGGCTGTGTACATGCATCTCCAGCAAGATGGGGAATATATTGCTCGGATCCACCCCATTGATGAAAGCAGCAGTGAAATCCCATTAATCCCAAGTCAGGAGAAAAATGGGTAAGTTTCTTCTAAACAAGAATTCATCTCTTAGTGGTTTTGGTATTATACTATAAAGAAGAGCATTTTATTCCAGGTACATATGTAACGTTCTGCAATCAGGTGGAACTTTGACAGTGACAACTGAAACCTTCCAGTCTTAATGCGGAGTCACTACTCCCTCAGGTAAAAGACCTGGCTCTGCTAGCCCAGGCTGTAGCAAGCTTATCAACCTCAGTGTGTGGCCTAGCTACCTAAACAGACAGACAAAGCACTACACTGAGTGGGCGCAGAGACGAACACAGGCATGGGTGAACCAGGTGGCCGCCTGGGGCCCAGACAAAAAGGGGGCCCAAAAATGGTTTTGTTTTTTTTTCTGTTGTCTGATTATTATTATAATTATCTCTGTCGAAGTGGGACCCAATACTAAAAGTTCTCCCGGAGCCACCAGTAGTTTGGGTATGGTCCTGAGTGGGTGTGGGTTTCGCTAAGACCTAAGACTGACTTGGAGCTGAATTTTAGCAAGCTGTTAGATCTTCAGAACAGTGAATACTTGACCTGTGACTGATTAGACATTCAATGCTGCCTATGAAGGACGAATGGGGAAATTTGCCTTAAAGCTGAAGGCCCTCCTACACTGTCCATTCCTTTTCACTGTCCTCTGTTCCTAATCTGTGACTTTCCCAAGAGTTTACTACCGGGCTTGAATTTCACAGAGGCCTTGCATGGACCTTGTGCATGTAGATTAATTTCAGCATTGGTTCCTTGATCATATGGACATAAGTAACATTAACACCTATCTAAATGGAAGCAGAAAGTGGTTCTTTGCATCACCAAGGAGTTCAGTACCATTCCTTAGGGGAAAGCTTTTGATTTTTCCAGGGTACCACTGGCTGAAATATTTCATCCTCTCTGTGTAATTAAGATTAATTGTTGGTGATGTCTCAATTTGTCAGACTTCCTATGCATTCTCTTAGATTGTGGTTAGAGGCAAAACAGCAGGATTGTAGCTGAACAGATGTATTCTAGATGCCTAAATGGTATGGCGGTTGTTTAATTTAAAATTTAATTTAAATAAACGTGAAACTAGCGTTTTCTCTATTCTAGCTACTGACTTTGCGTCCATGCCCCAGAATGTTGCATAATGAAGTATAATTCTTACCAAACAGCTTAAACTATCTTTTGTTTGACGTAATAGATTAGAGGGAATGATTCTAATGTCGAGTCCTGCTGCCTTATGCCTGTAACAAGACGTGGTGATTATCTGATTACTGTCTAAAACAAACTCAGTAATTTCCAGTAACAAAAGAAAAATGTTCAATAAAAAACCTGACGGGAGATAACCTGACTCATAGGAGTGGGCTGAGTGGTTGTAATTCTACCATAACACATGGTCTATAAAACTGTAAAAGAGAGATGGTGTGTAGCTCAGTCGTGCTTAGTTCCAGCAATGCCATCCAACTTGTAAATTACTCTTGATGTCTGGGGAAAGGTAATTAGGGGAGCTGCAGCAGCTGTCGTCTTCCCTGGCTTTTTGAAAATGCTTTACTGTGTCACCGCTAGTAAACATGCTTTGTGCAAAGTGCAGCCACGGCGCTGGCAATGCCACTGCTGCTTGGCATTTGCAAGGTATGCTGCTTTGCCAGGATGCTTTACTATAATGCATGGAGGCTCTTCAACGTCGGATTTTCACTGTGTGAAATCAACCTTCAGCACAAGAAAACTGAGCATTGTCAGACTGAAGGCAGGGTGGAAAGCTCACGTTAGCCATTGTAACAAAGTGCAATATGTTTTTGTACCACTGCCATCTGCTGGTGACAGTGGTTGAAGCTAGAAGATATGGTCTTCAGGTGGGAACTGGCTTTTTGGAACTGGCAGTAGGCCATGCTTTAGAGTAGTTTTAGTCATGAGCATGCTAAACTTGCAATATCTTGGGGTTTTACCAGCCAAGTTTGACATTTTTTTTTTTTTTAAAGACATGCTTTAGTTTAGATTGCCAGGAACTCTGTGACTTGTGTGCAAGTAAGGAAGGCCAGGTCAGGTAGTTGTGGTGACTTTTCTGGATTTAGTTTCCTTCCCTTGGTTATCCTCTTTCTGCCTTAGTCTTTAACAGGCTAACAGTGATTATGGCACCACAGTGCCCTGCATTATATGTAATCAGTTCATCCCAGATTTCAGAGCTTCTTCTAGGTGTCTGGAAAGGGCTTGTGGGCTTTTTGTTTGTGTTCTGCCTTCCTCTTTAGCATGAGATAATTCACTTCCTTGACCATCTTGGTATCTTTTACCTAAAAAAAAGTCTCTGCCCTTCATTGAGCGCCCTCAAGGATCAGTTGTGCTCTTGGTCTTTCTCCACCCTCTTCTGGTAGCATGATGTGGGTTTTGAGATCTTCAGATATTTTTGTACTAGAGATCCTAACATTATTAGTGGGTGCTTTCTGGCTTTCAACATACAGGAAATCCCAAGTGCCCATTCTGGATGCATACCTGAATCTGTTTTGAAAACACAGCTGACCAAAACCCCACAACTAGCAGGTTGTAAAGAAGGAGAGGGGAGAAAGGAAAACCCACCCATGTTTCAGCCCCAGTAGCTGAGTGGTTAAAGGTACTTCCACTGGAAGTGAGAGACCTGAATTTTAGACATGCTTAACCTGCATCTCTGACTTCACAGCCCAGTGCTTTAACTGCTACACCACAGATTGGATATTATCCAATCCCCTTTTAAACTTAGCTCCCTTGGCAAACAAGAAAGGGGAAAATATGTGGCCAGGAGGACAGGAACAAGTCAGAGGCTGTGAGATGGCTGCAGTGCTAGAAAGGAAAGAGGCCTTGATTTCTAGGACAGACCCTTGTTCCCAATGGGACAGAAGCTCCCCTGCTGCACTGCCCTCTTGTCTGTTTAAATGCAAGGGGAAGTGGCCCAGCTTCAAAAGAGGGAAACAGGCATGCTGGAGAAGAAAGTAGCTAATGTTTAACCTATGGTACAATGATTAGACACTGTTATGGGAAGTTACAAGGACACGGATTTGAACCCTCTTTAGGTGAGGAGGTTTTTTGTAGATTCAAGTTCTCCAGCTGCTTGGGCAAATACTGGAACCACTCCACTAATGGGACTAAGGGGAGATGGCTCTTTCTCCCAACACTTTCTAGGTTTACACAGAGGTATATATGTACATAGCCACATATGTACCCTGTAACTCAGGCTTTATGTTCCTGCTTTACATATCCACAGTAGAGAGGCAGGACCCAAAATGCCAGAGGACACCTAAATGCAGGACACTCTCATCCCTCGAAGGAAAAGTCATGGCTTGACAAATTGCCAATATATGCAGGTAGTTCAGCTATGCTCTTCATAAGCAAATCTTCACTCTGCCTTGTATACCTATCCAAAAAAATGTACCTTTTGGTGTTTTCAAAGTGCTTACCTTGGTATCAAATAAGGTATGGACCGATGAGCAATTGAGCAGAAGACAGTTAAGATTTATCCTCTGCTTTCCTTAAGGATAATAAGGAAGAAAACTACCATGATTTTGCCTATGTAAGCAAGGGTGGAGCATCCTCCCATCCACCAGCCCAAGGGAGGAAAGAGCTCCCTTATATTTTCAATAGTCAGCCTCCTGTACTCTGCACCCAAGTATAACTGTAGGCTTGGATGATGTTGGTTACATGTCTAACTACCTGACCGTGCCCATAGATTAGTCTGATATCATTTGCAGCTCCACTTATTTCCAGATCAGCAAAAAGAAAGGCTGGATCTTAAAAAATGCTATAAACATTCCAATGCCTGCCTTTTTTTCCTCAAGGAGATAATATTCAACTCTTCTAGGATGTGGTCTTTATATGAATATGCATAGCCTTACTTTGAAAGACACTGAAATGTTTATAAAAGACTTTGGGCTTTTTGTAAAATCAGTGCTAATAGGAAATACTGTATAACCAAAAAGAATGATAACCTTCCAATGGAATTCCTGAACTGCCTATAGGTATCCTACAGTAGGAATATCATTATCTCACTTTTTTTCCTTAAAGATTCCATAGATATGGGAACATTTGGTCTTGAAGTCTTTAATGAAGAGCTGTTTGCTAATTGAAATTCCTGTCCTAGAAACTCAGATGCTTCAGTACCCTGACTAGTGACATTCCTTTGATCCAGTGATTTTTACATGCCTTTACATACCAACCTAACATGAGATACTAAGCACAGAGAGCTCCCACTGTCTTCAACTGCAGTCATGGGTACTTATCATTTGCTGAAACTCAGAACCCATAGTAGGAAGAGAAAATGGGTTCTGTTGAAAGTAAACTTGAAGGGTAGCATGGTGATTAAATTAACTTAAGGGTAGATTTTTCTCATATCTAAAATAGCTTATGGTGTTAGCTAGCATCTCTCCCTTCCAATATCCTGAATTACATGTAGTCATATTTGATAAGGTCTTCATGGTTCATGTACATTTACAAGGAGGAAGAAAAAGTGCTGTCAGATACTGTTCTTTGATGGGGGGTTTAGCCAACCCAGTGAAGTTACTTGTTGGCAGCTGCAGAATAGGAATTAAACAGTAGAAGTATTTAAGCCATGAAACTTTTCTTAAGACCCCAGAAAAGGAACTTCTCTCTTCGTTTCATACAACTTTCATTTTGCTAAGACCTCAGCCTTGCAATCCTTACATACAACATTCCCATTGAACTCAGTCAGTGTTTTATAGACTTAAAGACTACAGGATGGATAAATTTGTACTTTTTCTCCCCTGGTTCCATTTCTGCTCCAGTGAATAATGTAATTCTATGAACTGTGGAGTCATACTAATCCCAGAGTGAGCAACTTGTAACAAAGAACTAGTGCCATGTCTATTGACTGGTGCACATGAGACCTATGCTTATTATTGATTTATTTTACTAAAGTATCTATCCTTTATATAGGAAAAAAACCCAGGTCATTTAATCATATTTGCAAGGCATTGTGTTGTGATGGGATGGGGAGAACAGAAGAGCTTCAGTGGGAAAAATAAGCCAGGAATGATAGATAC